GCTAGAAGAAGCTTATAGACATGATAACCGATCGGTTAACTGAACGGAGAGGAATTATCGAGGTGCAGTTTTCAAAAGAAGCAGCAGTAATACTTGAAAACCACACTCTGGAGATCAAAGTTGTTTTTTTCCCCAGAGCGCACAGGTACTACTGGGCACTGAAATCCATTGCTGTACAAAACTTCAGTGAAACAGTTACCACTTTATTATACTGCTTTTGCTTTTAGGATTTTATTAAATTACTAAACACGGTCGAGGGTAGGAGGGTCTTTTTGTTTTCGCTCTCTGCCATTCCTTTTGTTACTATCTCAGTCTATCTCGGCTGGAATTGAGGCTTAGATATATATGCATCATTTAGGAGCACTACTAAGAGGTCACACTTTTCACTGTCGTGGAAGGTGCATCACTGTTAAAAACTTGGGATTGTCGAGGAGTATAGAGGTGAACTGCAGTCTTTTCCACATGGTTTCCTGGGACTTTGAAGGAAGAAGAAACGTTACTCTGCTACACGGATTAATTTATATGTACATTTTGTTGTTTTATCTATTCAGATATGAATTTTAACATTATTGTCATTGTTTGTGATATACAATCTTCATACCCTGTCAACATGGATTTCAGCTTACCTGCTTTATTTGGGAGACTGGTGGCTGAATTTGAATATTGCTGTGTAGTGATTCAGGTGGGGGGAGGAGGAGGAGGAGGAGGAGGCCGGGGGGGCGACAGAAAAGCTTTGACTGACATATCCTGTACTTTATCTACATACGGTGACACGGGCGCAGAAGAAGTCGCCGTGGCCTGAATTGAACAACTCTGGCGTGAAGTGATTTGTCACCTGCTGCCACTTCTGTGAAGTGAGTGTGTAGTTGGGGGGTGGGGGGGGGGTTGTCCGGCTCTTAAAGACCACACTAAACATGTAAGCAAGGTACAGGAAATATTTTTGTATATTCCACCTATGCCATTTCATACTCTCTTCAGAAGTCATGTAAATACATATCAGTCATATGTAAATGTTGTAAAGAGATTGGGTGACTTCGACAGACTGTCTGTTCACACCCGTCTCCACTGTGTTTTAAGTGTAATTTCAGGTGTGGAGCAAAAAGCGCGTAGTACCGTATCGTACTACTCGACAGCTACAACCACAAAACAAAGTTTAACAATTAAGCTGAAATCATTGTTACTGAATCTTTGAAGTCAGAACTCCAATGAAGGATGAAGCTATTGAAATCTGTTCGTTTAGTAAGCTGACACTGAAATCTGAAAGCTGTTTTTTCTTTTTTTATTTGTTTTGTTCTTTTTCTTTCAGGCAGTCAAGCGTGTGTTCATGTTGAATAAAGGACGCAGAGCAGGGCCAGCTGGCAGGAGTAAATTATTAGGCACACTGCAAATATCTGAAATAGGTTTTATGTGTATAAGATGGTAGCCAAAGTCATTAAAAAGGGCAGTAATATTTAGGCTTAATAACATTAGTTAGGTGTGATTAAAGGCCACCTCTAACATTTGTGCCAAAATAAACATTTGCTCAAATTTAATAGTTGACAAAACGGACCTAAGAGGAAGGTTTAAACTTCTTTCTCGATTATAAAGATAACGCTTTAGACCAGCTCTGCTTCGGTCTCTGAATCGATGAGATATCGATGAGATTGTTACATTCTTTAGTGTGATCTTTCATTATGACGACGAGATGCATGTCTGTCAGACGGGAGGGGGGGTTGTAGGGAAGGGGCATTTAAAAAAGAAAAAAAAGAAAAATTCAAAAAAGTCTTCTACTGAACGTAAAAAAAAAATAATAATTAAAAAGAACTCGAGCATGTCATACAGAAAATATCCATCTTTTTGTGTTAGTTGTGCAATATTTTCTTAGGGGGGGAGAAAAGATCCTTTGTCATCACTTTTGACCACAGTTTGAAACCGTTCTTTTAGTTCAGCATCTCAGTTACTGAGTCTGTACATTTTATTTATGAGATTGTTTCCTAAAGGAGATCATAGTATCTATACATACTGTATAGTTTGGAGTTTTTTCTGATACCATTTCTTTTGTGTTGCAAAAATTTGTAGCCCTAATTTTTGCCGGGATGGGAAGAGGCAAAAAGGGGCGGGGGGGTCGGTCGGGAACGGTTGTGGCACATTTTTCTGTGTTTTGGTGAATTTGCATTGGAATGGAAAAAGACATGGTAATGGTAAGTTGCCCAGTTTAGTGTTAGTCCGTGTAGACTAGTTATGTAGAGTGTAATGTCAATGTCAAGGTGTGTCTTGGTATTGCAACTGTGCAGGGTCTACCAATCCATCAGTGTTAAAGTCTATTATCTTTAAACTGTGTGGTCATTGGCTTCCTTACACATTACACACACATATATTACACACACATCGATCACTATAAGTTCAAACCAATGGAAGCCACAATGAGTTCACGTTAAGAAATTGCTGTGATTTCGTTAAGGATTCACTTTAAACTGATTTATGGATGACCTTGTTTATGATATTTGTAGGATTTTGGGCTTCCTTTAGAAAAGATACGTGCTTTGTATTCAGTAGATTAGACTTAAATGACAAAAACACTTAAAAGAACCTGAGTCTGATTTTGGTGACTGAACGTTTATAGTGAATGGATAGTTGAGGCAATGCCATGTAATTATTGTTATAATGGTATATTGTCACGCATCTTTTAATAAAACGCATTGTTTCAAGAAAAAAAATAAATAAAGCTGTGTCTCCGTTTTTCTACAATACCAGTATTGTATGTTTGTTCCAGCTTTTGTTCAAACCCAGTCAGTCAACATTCGCACCTGAGTTTTACAAAAGGTGGCTCTATTTGTCTGAAACAGATCTGTCAGGAGGAGATCAGATCAGCACAGGTTGAACTACAAATGAGCCCAGTTCCTCTAGACTCAGACATATATATATTAGATATAATAATACACTCACAACCCCGACGAGACTAGGTAATTTGGGTTTTTTGTCCTAGGATGACAAAGGCATGACATTGTCTAACTTGTATGAGTTGGTGGAGTAAGGAATAATAAATACTCTAAATTAATAATGATGTAGTTGTCTCACCTGTATGTGGGCCAGTATAAAATGCATCTACACCTCTTTTCTTTTTTAAATACTTTATTTACAGTTTTAAATTTTACAATGACAACATATTAAAAAAAAACATACAAATGAAATAAATCTATACAATCTACACCTCTTCTGTTGGCTAATGTTAATTTAATAATGATCTTTACTCCCTGAAGTTAAATAAATGCAAATACTATTAACCCCCTTTTGTTAGAGAGCTATTATACAACAGTATATATTTACCTGTTTATAACACAGTTTATCCTTTTACTGGAATAAATAAATAAATAAATAAATAAAGACCACTGTGATACCTCAGTGTCTCTGGTGTATCTGCTGTCTGTCTCTGTCCGTGGTGCTGAACTCTGATCACATGACCTCCTCCTCCTCCTCCTCCTCATCCTCCCTCCTCCTCTTCGGTGTTTTTTTTACCTCCCTTTTTTCTTTTTGAATAGAACAAAAACAAAAAACAGCTTGGGCTGCAGTTTGCATTAAACGACCTAACAATACCGGCGGACCACCGCGCTGTCCTCTAAACACCGCGGGTTGTTTCCCCGGCGCCATTTTCAGCCGCCACACAGCTCGGTGTGATAATAATGGACAACGACTACTCGTCCGGGCTGGAAAACCCTCTGTACAGCGAGCTGAAATACTTCTGTAGGAAGATACAGGAGGCCTACAACGAGCTGAAGGAGGACCTCACACCTTATCGAGATGACCGCTTTTACAGGTGTGTCTCCTGTTTGATGGAGAATCCTTATTTTTCCTCTCCTCCTCCTCCTCCTCCTCCATCACCTCCTGCTGCGTTACATAAACAGCTTTAATTATAATGTGACAGTATGCATCTAAAGGCAGAGCTGTTGTGTATTACTGGTGTGTTGTGTTGTGATGGCAGGTGAAAATAAGAGGGGTTTGTGGGTTTTTATATTTTAGGGTAGAGCATCGATTCATTTATTAAATTAACTGTGCAACCTATTATATGTTGTATTTTATATTCTCAGTATGTAGTGACATGTTAGATAATACCACAGTTTAGAGATAGAGGCCTCCTGGTTGCCATTAAAGGCAACAAGTGTTTTGTCTTGAGGGGATTTAATCATGCATCTGCATTATGTGGTGGTCTATCAAATATCGTTTAAATGGCTCATTAGATATTAAAAAGTCAACGTTGACGAGTCTTCTTCATCATCACTCTTTCAGGCTTAGAAATATGGAATACCTCACAGGAATACATCACCTTTGACATCCTATTTATGCACACAGCATAGAATAAGTGGTGGAATAAGCTTCAGACAAATGTTTAAAGCATCTTCTGAATGATGTTTCACGTAAAGAAAGCTCCTGTTTTTATTAATGCTTTGTCCCCGTGTGATGTTTTACTGTCTCTTTATATTTTAAGTGTATTTGTCTTGTATGTCTGTTTTAATACAAGAATGTTTTATTTTATTTTTACACGTTTTATTGTACAACTAATGTTTTTTTTTATATATATATATATATTAAAATATAAATGCTATCACTCAAATTGGAAGAAAGTAACAAATATTGATTAAATAGTTTATTATAAACATTATTTTTTAGCTCATTATGAATTAAAAGGTACACACGTTGACGTACGACGTGGTTGTGCTGCGCATGCGCGAAGCTTATTCTCAGGACAGTTGAGCCGTTCCGAACTTAACCGTTACCTACATGTATGCGCGAGCCTCTTGGCAAAATTAAACTTAATTAAATTAAAAAAAAAAAAAAAACAACATATATCGACCTGATGTCTAACGTATGTCACAGCTTCACTAAACTAACACGAATGTATTATTTAAAAAAAAATAAAAAATAAAATAAAAAAGAACTAGGACGAAAGAAAGCCGACTGTATTTTACACAAGCAACCGTTTTTATCCCCTTTCCGTCGGGGTGACGTCACCCGGTCCCCGCCCACTCGGTGACGCTGCGTTCCAGTTGTCGCAGACTGACGTGGACGATAACACGGATGTGGATTCAGTGCGAAGTTTTCACGTCTTTTCTCGGCACCGACACCGCGGACCGACAGAAATGGAGCCGTAAGTGTGAGCCCGGGGGTCAGCGGACACACCCGAGACGCGTCGCCGGTGTTTAAGACGCGTTTAAAAGTGTTAAAACCACTGTGCAGGATCTGCCATCTGTTACATGCTACCCTAAACTAGCGCGCTGAGGCTAGCTGTGTTGACACATCCTGAATCACAGGATGTAGGCGAACATTAAGCACAGAAACAGGCATTATCTTTGTTTTTGTTGCTCTGATCTTCTGCCTGTGTGTGTGTGTTGACCCTGATGAACTCTCCCTGTGACAGATTGGCCCCCATGCGGCTCTACACGCTGTCTAAGAGGCATTTCGTCCTGGTCTTCGTGTTGTTCCTGATCTGCTTTGCCCTCACAGTCTTCATTGGGATTGCAGGTATGGCTTGTAATCAATACTGCAACGGTGGGTCGTTTTAACACAGACTTAAGGTTTTGAGATGCAGAGGAAGTGAGAGAGTCAGTGTGCTTCATTAGATAGATAGATATATATACTTTATTGATCCCAAGCTGGGAAATTACAATTATCAAGCTCTGATAGCAGAATACTTGAAGAACAGGAACTCATGTTTTCACTAAACTGGTCCTTTCTTGATGGTCGAGTGGCTCCCAACTGGGTTTTGTAACGCAGACGAATATGCATGGCATTTTCATGTCAGAGTAAATGCTGCTTATCGGCATCTTTATAAGCTTTGTAACGTAAAAGCATTCACATATGTTTATGGTCGCAGCATTTATTTCTATTTATGCAACTTTCAGTATGGTTGCACACATTTAAACACCTTGGGAACTAATCATGTAGTCTAATTTAGGAGACCTATTCTTCTTGACTTCAGCGTGTGTTTCATAAAAACAAAAAAAAAGAGAAACTGGCAAATATGTTTTTCTCAGTTTTTGTTGCGTTATGATGACATGTGGTTACTAAAGGCGCAGACACTGTCTTAATCTTTTGTCATCAGGTAGCAAAATGTCAAGTAAAGTTTTGTCCATCTTATTTTTAAGTAGACTGTGATATTTCTGTTTTGCACTTCTTTTGGGGCATTGCTTTGTGAAAACATATTCATTGTGTTGTCTTAATTTCTGTAATTTCTGTAGGTCCTAGAATTATTTCTGAGCAAGAGCACAATGGTTATCAGTTGCTTCTTAAGAACATCTCAGTTAAGGTAAGATAAAAAGGTGTTTGTTGCAGTAATTGCAGGCAGTGCACATCAGGGATACTAGTGCAAAAAGAAAGCACATTTCTGAACTGAACTGTGTGTGTTGGAAAAGAAAGGCCCAACAGTCTGTTTCCTCCTTTACACATTGCTTCATCTCATCTCATCTTTGTATATAAAATCTTTAAAAAGCCCTTTCTTAATGTAGTGCATAAATGGTATTAAAGTTATGTTTTACCCATTCAAGGCTACGTATTTCTGTGAAGTTACAGATATAGTGATGCATGTATAAAAGAGGATTGTATAGCAGTACAGTGCAGACACGGATGTACAGTCAAATGTCATGTAATGCTGATATTTTAGTTTATATTTAGATAGTTCGTCACATCGTCCTTCATCGTGCACCAATACCACTTTGATTCAGATCAAATACAAGTAATTACATTTGGTTACTTGCCGATACCGAGTACCAGTAAGAGTACTTAATAATAGCATTACAGTTGCAATGATTTATGTTCATCCGATGTTCCTGATTTTCTGACTTTAACAAATGAAATGCTGTTAATGTTGTTGTAAAAGTTGCTTAAAAATGAAATTCTCCTCCACCTACCGGCTCAAATAATGAGCGGTTACGTATATTGGAGTAGTTTGATGACTACATAATGAATTACCTGATACTGGTCTTGGTGCATCCCTGATTCCACTCGTAATTTAATATATCCTCTTGTGTTAAGAGAAACTCTTTGCGGTTTTGTGTTATGATGTAAGCAAATATGCTGCAATAACCTTTTGTGTGTCTTTGAAATTGATTAATTGTCACTCATTGTATGTTTTCAGACTGGACCCTTCAATCTAGTTTCCCCTCCCCTCACCACCTACAACCAGCAGCTATGGCTCACCTGTGTGATGCAGGCTGAACACAGCAACAGTAAGACCACAGAAAACTGTTTACCACGACACTCAAATGTGGAGGACGTCCCTATGAGACACCTCAAATAGCTTTCTCTCTTATTTTTTGTAAACATGCTTGGCTTTGGTTAATAACGTGTTTTTAATGCCTTCTGTGTCAGTGGGAGACTTCCAGCAGCCGATCGTGATCAATGTTGATCTGAAGGGAGTGATGCAGGACGCCAGTGTGATGCGCTTAAAAAACGTGCGGCAGAAATCCCGAACGCTTCACTGCGGGACAGTAAGTTCCAATCAGCAGCCCAGCCACCTTCCTCTCTTGCAGGATGCTGAATTGTCATTAATCACTTAGTCAGGCAGCAGCAACCAACGCAGCACCGAGAGTTTATGAAATGTCTTTTACGTCATGAAATTAAATCGCAGTGTAGCGATCGGTGAGTGCGGAGTGTCAGATAGACAGATAGTGACGTCCTCAGAGCAGGTCAGTGATTTACAGTGCAGTTTTATTTTAGTTTTAGTTTTATAGCGCAGCAAACACGAGGTCTTTCAGTTCCTTTTCACAACACTGCTCCTCTTTAGATAGTCCAGTGGCTCTCAGTTAAGTAACGCTATGTATATACAAAAAATATATAGAAAATCAAAATCAACGTCCGACTTCATCCGATCATACAGTCACCGTAAAGCGAGGTTTACTAGGCCTCCATCCTGCTCCGAGCAGAGGAGCATATCAATCATCTCCACATTCACTCTGTTGACCCAGCATACTTTCTAGCTCTACGTGTTCAATATGATTAATAAAAGCAACCCATACTTTTAAAAAATTATTTTCCCTTAATAGAATATTCATTTTTTTCTAAGGATATACATGCAGACAGTGCCTTTAAACATCTACCAATACTTGGACTGTGTACATTTTTCCATGATAATGCTGTCATCCTCTCTAACAAACAAAATAAGGATTTTCTATTTCTTATTTATATTATGTTCTTTTGGATGACAACCTAAAAAGAAAAGCTTGGGCTCCATAGTTAACCTCACACATTTCTATCAGCAACTCTGTGATTTTAATGCAGTAGTAGTCTCTTGAGTTTGAGTTCAGTTTGATCGTCGACTGAACCGACATCGTTGTTGTTTCTCCGTACAGAAATGTGATGAGATCATTGTGCTCCATCTGGGCTACCTGAACTACACCCAGTACAAAGTCATGGTCAGCTTCAAAGGCCTTGAAAATATCACATATGAAATCAAGGTCAAGTTTGTGGTAAGTGACATTTTTCTTCTAGCTCATGAAACAAACTTTGCCTTTTTATGTTGCTGCGTTGGATTCTTGTTATTGTTTTTTAATATCTTGAGCTCACAGGTCAATCACAGACTTTTTACTCTTTTTTTGTTTCTCTCCCTTTTGTTCTCTTCTTCCTTAGTGGAAAACGTACAACCCCACCTTCTCGCAAGTGGAGATCTGGTTCCGGTTTGTCTTTGTGGTGTTGACCTTTATGGTGACGGTAAGGAACACAGATTACTTTTCTACAACTTAATCTCACTGAATTTCATGTTACTGGTATTCCAGTCTGACAAAAACCATTTACCAGGTGCAGGACTAATGTTTTATGTTTGTTCAGTGTTTGTTTGCACACTCACTGAGGAAGTTCTCCATGAGGGATTGGGGCATAGAACAGAAGTGGATGTCTATCCTGCTCCCTCTGCTGCTTCTCTACAATGGTCAGTTTGAGTATTATCTCTCCTCAGGTCATATTTTACAGGTAAAGGCCATTATTTCAATGTATGTTTTATTGCTTTTGCTGTTCAGATCCTTTCTTCCCGCTGTCATTCCTGGTGAACAGCTGGTTTCCAGGAACGTTGGATGCTTTCTTTCAGGCTCTGTTCCTGTGCGCCCTGCTGCTCTTCTGGCTCTGTGTTTATCATGGCATCAGAGTCCAGGTGGGTCCACTACTGTATCTAAACTTTAGTGGCTCTGTCTCATGTTTACCTTATTGAGAATCTAATTTCATGTGTTTTTATGTGTTTTTTTTTTTACGCAGGGTGAGAGGAAATGTCTGACGTTCTACCTGCCTAAGCTGATCATTGTAGGACTTCTGTGGCTCTCAGCAGTTACACTGGGAATATGGCAAACGTAAGTCTGACCTCACTGCCTACTAGCAGCCTGATTTTAAACTCTGAATTACAACAGGAGTAAAAAGATCTTCTCTCTTTTTCTGAACTTGCAGGGTTAATGAACTCCAAGACCCTACCTATCAGTATAAAGTGGACATAGTAAACTTTCAGGTGAGACCTTTAAGCTTTGTTGTAAAGATACAGACTTGGTGTTTATGTCTTCGCTTGCCCAAAGTTTAATAAAGTCCAATGTTATTTCTCCAGGGCATGAAGATCTTCTTCCTGATTGTAGTGGCCCTCTACATCCTCTACCTGATCTTCCTGGTTGTCAGGGCCTGTTCCGAACTCAAGAACATGCCTTATTCAGGTATCACAGCACACCACGCCTCTGTATGTCAGTTCCTTTTACTCTGATAACACTAACGTGCTGCGTGTTTCCCATCACTAGATCTGCGGCTCAGGTTTTTGACAGCGCTGACGTTTGTGGTCCTTATTATCAGGTGTGTTTTTAAAGGAAAATACAAAATCATTCGTCGCTCAAGCCCTTTGTGGTTAATTTGGTTTTAATTTGACACTGATGTTCTTGTTGCTCTTTCTCCTCCAGCATGATCATTCTCTACCTGAGGTTTGGCTCCAAGGCTCTCCAAGAGAATTTTGTTGCTGAACTGTCGACGCATTACCAAAACTATATCCTTTTAAAAACAATATTTTAATTTCGATCATGATTTCACTAAAAGGCCGTGTGTTGGTTAGGATTTAGTGGCATCTAGCGAATACCGTTCTTCTTCCAAGGTGTAGAGGAACTACAAAGGCTTCATCTAGAGCCAGAGTTTGGTTTGGTCCTTTCTGGGCTACTGTAGAAATGCATTGGGCTCATTCCAAGGTAACAAAAACACAAGGATTTTATATTAATACACTGATGAAAACATACGTAAGTATCGTATTTCATCTATGCTGATAGATCCTCCCAAATGTTACACACAGGACCTTTTTTTAAATGAAATGTTTAAAACATTTTGTCTTTAAATATGTGAGAAATTATTCCCTAACTCGAGACATACCAGCTGAATTTTTATCATTCTATGGCCTGCTCAACTTTTACTTGTACACATTGGCGTTTGTGTATTCCCCCTCCAAAAATGCCCTTTATGGTAGGTAATACAGCACAGTTTCAATGCAGCAGATAATGAACTGATTTATCAACCTAACAAGGTTTTGTTTAATTCCCCCAGACTCCCAGCTGAAGGATAATCCTGCTTTCTCCATGCTGAATGACTCAGATGATGAAGTAATATACGGGTAAGTGTTTAGTTAACCTAATTGCTTTTTAGTGAATTCTTACGGTCTGAGAGGAGGTATTCAGCGTGAACTTTACATTAACCAACTGATGTTCTTTGTCTTTGTTAAAGGAGCGATTACGAAGACATGCCTTTACAAAACGGACGCGCTATCAAAGCTACCGCCAAGTACCAGGATGAGAGTGACAGCGACTAATGGGATCTCTGTGTCCCTGTCGGACACTATGAGAACACAGTACAACAAACTATCATGTGTGGTGGTAAATAAGGATTACTCGCATTGGTACTACGCAAATTATATACTGTAAGTGTACATAAATCTATTTTTAAAAAAAGGAGAAGTTCCATGTCGATTGAATGTACTGTACTTTGATTGAGAGTTGGGGCATGTGGACACTTTTTCTTCATTGTTTATGTCTCATTCAGAAGCAAAGGAAACAAAACTTTTTTTCCCTCACAACCAGCATTAACCGCTAATGTTTTTGTGTAAAATTAATGTTATTATTAATGCTTTGTGTTGAACCACTGTTGTCTCTCTGTACTTGCACTTTGTTTTTTGCCATTCCTTTCTGCTCTCTGACAGTCGAAGATGAATAGGAGAATACTAAATATCTGGCCAAAGCTGAGTAACATTAAACTGGTGGTAGAGATTTAAGGAAACGTGTGCTGCAGAAGCCGTAAGTGCGCTCTTAACGCTGCATTGTGACTCGCCAGCACTGACGTGATTGATGAACGGGGGATTTTAAGTGCCATAGCAGTGTTGGCTGTTGACTAATAATACTAATAATTCTCTTTTGTCTTCAGACATGTTTAAGAAAATACAGAGAGAGCCTTAACTGGAGTGGGTACCACTGAAATCTTACCAATTCTTCCATTGGAAAGAAGCTTTGTCATTGCACTTGTTGAAGAATTGTATTTATTTTGCCAAAAAGTAACTACATTTGATACTGTATTATCCGACTACCTGGATTGATTGATTTTGATGAACTGCATGGATTTTACACAACCTTATGTAAATGTACTACTGATCTATCATGTTGAACATTTCTCATCCCAGCACATACAGTAGTTATACCATCGGCCAAATACATCTTTCTTTTCTAGAACGTATTATTTTAAGTAATTGTTTTTTCTCCTGTATTTTTCCTTATATTGCCTACAGTATGAGACTGGTTGCCCTTTACTTTTGTTTTATAAAACTGGAGCTTATGGACAAAAAAACACCCAAAACAAATACGCTTCTGTTCTTTACAAATAATATTACGACCTGTATTCTAATTAAAACGGTGCCTTGTCGTTACATCACTCTTTTCTTCTAAATGGGCTCCAGTTTCAAATTTGTAAATGCTTTGATATAAATGTATATTTCCGATTCTTTCAGTGTGAATGTAGCTTATGATCGTTTAAGGTGTTCAAATGAGGTTGTTGTGGGTCTCGATATGTTGGAGGTTTTTGTTGCTTTATGAGATAAAAGCTGTACATGTAGCATTTTGTCATGTCACATGTAAATAAAGCAAAGTACATACAGCATGGTATTATTTTGATCAATTGCACATTTTTATTCAAATATAGTCAAACATAACATGCTGGTTCTCAGAAACACACATTTTAAATACTAAAGGTACACTGTAGTTGGTTTAAATGGACAGCCCGAAAACGTTGACGATACAGTACATGGACTTGTTCTCCCATCTCACTGCACAGCTTCCTGTTGGGTGTAATACACAATTACTTCTGTGACAGTTACACATTCAAAGTTAGTGACAGAATACTAAAAAGCTAAGCTGCAGCATTTTTAAGACAGCTACCTTGCTCAAGAGCACACCGACTGTTCAGCCGACACACTGCTTACCGCTGCTCCTTGCACTTACTTTGTTTATCCATTTACACGAGCGTCATGCAAATATTGTTACCGTTGAAAACATAACTTGAGAGCACATGCTAGATCTTTTAAAAGCTGCACCTATAACAGAGAGGTTTACCATCAGTAGTGTTGTCCCAGAAACATGCGCTGGCTGTTTGCAGACCTGCTCCATTTTTCTGCATGATGATACAGGTCACTGTGGGAAAACCCAAAACACATATCTATCATTTAATACCAACTTCAGAGCCCAAACCCATCAGAATGTGACTGTTTTACTTCTTAAAGTCACTGATTGTACAGCGCACATACCAATATATTTGAAAGGCTTCCCCAGCTTGCTGAGTTGACTGAGGCACTGCTCCACTACGCTGGTGGTCCACTGGTTCACTCTGCTGTGCTGGTAGGCATTTCCTCCTATGGCTGCTTCTACTGACTGCAGAGACAGTTTAAACAAAGAGGTGATCAATTAGGAGCTGATCAACACACAAAACTACACATTTTAATATCCTTACAGTAATACTATTATTATTATTATTATATTATTATTATTCTATATGATTGAATCCATGACTTTGCACTCCGCATTATATAATAAAAACATATAATCAGCTAAATTAAATATGAAACTGTACTTAAAGGCGTCATGGTTTAACTGTGTGCGTTGCCTAGCAACCGTTACAGTGCCCTTAGCAACCAGCAGGCTAGACACAAAGTTGAGCCGGTGACATGTTAAGTTTGTGGATGCACAGAGAGGCATTAAGGCTGCCTTTGCCTCACCTCTTTAATGATTTTGCTCACTTCTTCAACGACGAACGCAGTCTGGTGAAAAAACAGAAAACAGTGCATTTTTAAACGAGCCAGCCAACATGGCGGGTTCGCCTTGTAACGTTATTAACTTACTTTCCGGCCCGACGGTTATTAACGCTGCGTGTCAGTTACGAGATATAATTTAGCGGTAATATCTGAATGTTGTTTTGCTGGGTGATAAAAATAAATAGATGTAGCTTCAAGTATCAACCCACCTCGTCCTCTGTTTGATAGTCGTCCATGGCTGCGGCCCGATGTTACCCAGCAACAAGACGACTTCCGGTTGTGTTCCTTCAGAATAAAAGTGTCGTCTTTACGAATCTAATTTACAGAACTCGTGAGCCGACTGAAAAACATTTTGTTTGGCAGAGAAACGAAATAACTCTCTGTGAGCTGCGTGTACGTGTGCTAAGCAGTTGTTCACCAAATTATTCCAAGATAAAACGTATAAAATCACTATAAAATTTCACCTATGTTTATAACACAAGCAGAGAAACCACCGCCCCCTGCTGGTAGTTTGTTTTATCCGGTAATAACGTAGTTTTAGTGACTGTTAGACGACGACAGGTCGGTTAACGCTTAAATAAAGAAACCTTTCGGGTTAAGTCTTATATTGTTAATTCTCTCGGTCTGTTGGCTTCATGTCTTATGTTCAAGGTAACGTAATACAGTTTATTTGTCTACTAACTGAACTAACTGAAGCCATCGAAGGGAGCGTCCAACTGTAGCTAATCGGTCAGTTAATTAACCGTTATTTAACGTTAGCTAACGGTAATGTCAGTTGAGTATTAATGGATATTCACTCATATTACTTTATGATATTACTTTTAGTTGACTCTAAACATAAAGCGTCGAGGTTCTAATAAATAACAGCGCTGTTTAATTGTGGCTATCGTTTTAAGTTCAGGTTGAAGAAGTTTGAGGACAGAATAAGTTGTAATTAATGTGTTAGTTTAGCGTTAATTACAGGTCCACTCTCACAATTAGAGGTTAGTTTTAAAATCCGTATTTATATATAACCGGTTTCAGTCGCTGCTTTTACACGTTTAACTTCTTCACGAAGTATTTTTTTTTTTTAACATCAGCTTCAAATAGACAAGAAGTTAGTGTCATTACACTGACTTTTATTTTGAAAACATAAGAAAGGCCGGAAGTTGAAACAGTTATCAATATATTTATTTATATTAATTGTACCTAAGTGTGTGAACATGTTTTTACTAATTTTACACTTCTTATGGGTTTTAAATTACTACAATTAAAATGTATACTTAAAAAATAGTAAATGTCTTTATGAGCGGTTGAAGAGTGCAGCTTCCTTTGTGAACGCGTTGTGTGTTTTTGTTTCATTTCCACACACAAACACACTGTTCTGTTATTAAAAGTGCGTATAGTAAATCTCAAACACATAGTGTAACTGAACAAACACACAATCCTGCCCGCCGTTAAAGCTACAATTTATATTTCATGATACTCGTTCGTAGTGAAATCTTATTGGCCAGCAGCGCATCACGTTACCGGGAATAATCCGTGTTTACTTTCTCAACGTTGTGCAACTAAAATGTGCCACCTTGTGTTCTTGCGGTTGCCGATTCGCCATAAAAGAATAAAACGTCGAACCACACTTTGTATACGTTGTCGGTTTATTGTATTTTATGTTTGTTTTTTTTACAAAGAAATTGTTCATAATGTTTCTTAAAATACAATACATTTCTAATAGTTGACCAAATGGCAAATCAACTCCATATAAACTTCAGACTTTGAGCAGGTAGAAAAACAATCAATTCAGAGATAGATAAAAATACTGGTTAGAAAAAAAAGTGCTGAGGCTTAATAAGGCTGAATGAAGTGGACCATCTGTACATTATTGGCTCATCAGCAACATCAGGATGAGCTGAACGGGTAAGACCTCGGGCCGATGCAACAAATGGACTGTTAATGAACACAGAGGAAGAGAAGAGGAAGCTGGCCAGATGGAGGCCCAACAGAGCTGCAACACTCTCCAGTGGACAAACCTTAACACAAAGGAACCCTGTTAAGGGCAGAAGGTCTGCAATCATTTAAATGCAGCTACAATCTAACTGCATGCTGGTTATAAAACCCATTTCTC